TGCTGTGCTCGCCAACAAGGCTTGTTCACTTCTCTCCCAACGAGAGTAGGTATCAGTATTGGGATGAGTCAGGGGTGTGGTCTGAACCGAAGCCTCTGATTAGGCCGGTGGGCGCTAAATAGTTGGTAGTATTGACACCATTAACATGTCCAGTTGCTAGGTTAGGTAGGTACCTAGGCATTCTGGTATTGTGTGGCTTCGGTGAGGGGGTAGTTCATTGACAGGTAGAAAGACTGTGACCATTCCCGGTGCTGCGGGTGCCTGGTAGATATTGTCATCACGTAGTCCCGTCCACTAGATCATACGGTAAGCTTAGGTGTACGATCTATCGAATCAGCGGAATAGAAGGCTGTTGTTCATCGGGTATCTGTTAGTGCGCGTGGGCGTTGGTAGATACCTAGCCTAAGTTAGTGTAGTAGTGTAATAAGTACCTACTTAACGCCCTGCTTATATACGTGTATTGGTCACGTTCAAGGCTATTTCTACAATACATAATATCATCAAGTGACTTGATATTCATGACAGATGCTTCAGGGGTTGTGATTCTATTGATTACGCAGGCAGCGTAAAGATCGGAAATAGGTATATCGAATCATCTTGGATCATAGTGATAGTGAACATGTTCACGTACTGGTTAGGAAGTACGTGGGGAGGGTAAGGCTGAACTATGCCCCCTTCGTGACTACTTAGTTAGGTACCTGGAGGCTCACCCCGAGGCTCGTTATAGCCTTTCTTTCTAGATTCAACGTTACATCAGTTAGTTGTCATCTATATCTTACATGACTTGGCGTGTATTGGAAAGGTGGGTGGTGGGTTGATGTCGTCAGCAGGTAGGTAGGTAGGTGTGATCATATGTGTGACTGAGATTTATGATATAAAATATAAATACTTGGTTAGGCACACGTTAGGTACTCAGAGATGAATGAGGCTGTAATGTGAGTTTATCTGAGGCTATGAGGTTTCATGTAGCCTTGTGTATCTAATGGTTCGTGTATTATCACAGGCAGCCGCAATGGTACCTATGTAAGTTGCAATAGCTTATTTGGAATCTACATGTGTGTTGGTAGAGTGTTGTAGTCGATGGCAAGATTATATCAGCATTTGAAAATATTAACCGTTAAGGTTTTAGGAGGTAGCTTATAGTATGACTCTCGATATATCACGAGACTGGAATATATTGTATACTCATCCGAGAGTTGTTTTTTCTTTCTTCGGTTCTATTACACAGCTGCTGCCTGCTCATGTTTCCGTGTCATTGTATCTGTCTCATTAAAGCTCTAAGCAAAGCCTTCTTCAGTGCTAGGTATACTAGCAATTCAAGGCTTTGGATCTCACATATAGTCACATTGCCTCTCCAACGAAGTACGGAGTTTATTATGACTCAATTTACGTGTAGGCTCCTTCATCCAAGGCTGGTCCATATACTTATATTAATATAAAGTTGGGAATATAAAGGAAATATAAGTTTAAGGAGTTTATATCCCGAATCCATAGATACGGTAAAAGCTGTTGGTGAGGCTGTGCTGTGATGGCTAGTTAGGATTATAGGAGTTAACAATTTAAGGCTGAATATTGTGCCATCAGTGAGTCACATATATGATGACAGGAATATTAACCATATAATGAAATAGCATAAAACAGTCTCGTAGACGATAACCAGTACATTACACATGATAATAGCATAGTTGTAAACATTATATTAGCATTGTGGTAAATATAAGTATAGTAAATAAAAACATACTCCGATATAACTATGTGTGATTACTACGCTTAGAATGTAATATATGCCCTGCTAACCATCATGTTACCTGTAATACATGTAATAAATGCCAATATCTCCATTATTTCACAATGTAACTACAAGAAGGACTGCTGAATGTAATAGAAGCCGTGTTATGGTAGATCAAGGCAAAATACGACTTCATAACATCAAAGCCACATTCACAGATAACCTCGACTCACATGTTGTTAATGACCCTCCACGGGGATAGATCAAGGGAAGTATATATCTAGGCAGATCAAGTCGAGTTAACATGATATGGATTAGACCCAGGTGACTATTACGGCATTGAATGGCATATTGTCACCATGCCAAAGAACAATGAACCGCAAGGCTGTGAGTGAACTTTTAGGCAACTAGACATCGACAATCGAGGGTGCCCGATAATCACGAAAGTTGCTTAAAGAAAATGAGTATATCCGCAACTCTACCAATATTATCGACAGTTGGACAAAGGATCAGGCATCCCATGGTGTGGGTGGCATTACCTAGTATCATCCCATGATGTACCTACCCAGGTACCATTCGCACACATCCTTCACAAAGATACCTAGTATCCCACCACAGGCAGGACAAAGAGAACATATCCTTCAAAAGTTGTAGCTGTGAATATGTTACATGATACGAATACTACACCTTAGATGAGAGTCAAACGATGTAGAGGCAGGCAGACATTTATCCACCTAACCCAAGTATATATGAATTTAGTCACACATCATATCACGTTGATTGTTACTTTAAGATGATATTGAATTGATATTCACATAATACATTTTCATTATAGATGCCGAAATCATTGGATTAGTTTACATAGGTAGGTTTAGGATGAAGTCCCAATTATCACCCGAGGCAACAGCACTACATGCCAAAAATGACTCATAGGATGCTGGTGTGGCCAATAACGACAAATCACTGCAAGGCGTATGACTCATGGTATAGCACACCGGACGTAAACAAGGCTACAGGGCAACGCAAGGTTAAAGGATGGATAGGATTCGCAAGGAGACACGGAATGAATGGCACAGCTAGGCAAGTATACATCCATAGCATAACGAGTCACGATAATGAAGCAAGGCAAATGAATAATGTTCTTATGTGTTCGTCGAATTGATTAAGCCTCGATGAGCAATCCTTAATTGACCCCCCATTGATTCCCTTATGGTACAGTGAACACCCTAAACGCAGAACCTAATTCCCATGATCATCATGACCAGCCGCCATGCAACTAAAAGGTTGAATGGCATTCGCAAAAAATGACTTTCGTAACAGACGTGACCTAAACCCCTCCCAAAGATTGAAGAATGACGAGCAGCTTAACCACCGAAACCGTAAAGGGTGCGGCCTTGTCGCTTCAGAGCGTAGACAACGTCTAGAGATGTGACTGTCTTGCGCTTGGCGTGCTCGGTGTAGGTGACGGCGTCACGGATGACACCCTCAAGGAAGGACTTTAGGACACCACGGGTCTCCTCGTAGATCACTGTAGAGATGACGCGTTAGTGGGGCTGTCGCGTTCGACGCGTCGACAGGACAAAGTATGAACTTACTGGCTGAGATACGCTTGACACCACCACGACGAGCGAGACGTCGGATAGCGGGCTTGGTAATACCCTGGATGTTGTCACGAAGAATCTTGCGATGACGCTTGGCGCCACCCTTTCCGAGACCCTTGCCACCTTTGCCGCCTATTGAGAAGACATGTTAGTGATGAAGTTCGATGGAGATTGATGAGGCTGAAGCTGAAGCCGAGCAATGAAGCTGAACTTGGAAGCAGCTGAAGAGGTATTTAATACTTACGTCCAGTCATATTGAAAGAGTTAAGAGGTTATTGAGTAAATGTTTAAGTGTTGATTGGTGTTGACGCAAGTTGTTTTGCAGGTGAGGCTGAATGAAAAAAGGTTGGTTTGTGGATTGGTTGTAGAAAGAGGGAAGAAGGTGGAAGACGTGGGGAAGATAACGGGATTTAAATAACGACGGGGCGGAGCGGTAGTGGTAGCGTTCAAATCAGATCAGCCTGGGATTTGACGCGAACTCGTGCAGCTTGTGCCTGATCAGCCCCACTAATAAAAATAAAACAATCGCGGTTCTGGCCAATGGAAAAAAAGAGAATAACGCATCTAACTGGAGTCAAGTTCATGCCGCATCTGCGCATATGTGCTTATTCCTAATCGGGTTGATTCAAAACCCAAACCTTAATTCCCTCTCAGCCAATCATCAATTTGCATCGTCTTATTTTATCGCCCTATCTCCTCTTTTTTTCTTTTCTTCCCCAATGTTGAATGGAAACACATAACACCTGCTTAATTACTCAATACATTTGAATGGAAATATGAATAAACAACTTAAATAAATAAGTAAATTTAGTTACATGCATTCAATTAATCCTCCACGCTAATCCGGGATTGGTATTACATTTATGTAGGATCTCATACGTAATCAATGTTGATATCTGTTTATGTACCACACCTAACCAAAACTCGGTGTACAGGGCTGCATGTTTTTCATCCATCTAACCATTGTAACCATTCGACATCTGATGAGATACCTTACGGTGTGTAATGCACCTGAACTGCTTAGTAGAATGAATATCGTAGTACACAAACATTGAACCTACATATGTAATTCCTATTGTCCCTTAGCCGTGATCCCATTCAAAACGCTTGTTCCGTTATCAAATATTAATGTTTCTTATCAGGTCTCATTGTTGCAGTTGCCTGATGTCTTTGCTTACATTAATTCAAGGTTGTAATAGGTTACAAAATCGGCAAAGCTTAACTGGAATTGTGGGCACTCAACAAGTGGTGCACCCAATTAAAAATTAAGAAGGTCTAGCACGGTACCCGAGGATTGCAAAATCCCACCTAAAATCAGAGCAGTTACAAGTTGCAAAACGCACCCCTGTCTCCTGCCATCAAAAATAATCAACAACACGGTATTAATTACTAGCAAAGAATTACCTCTTTTGAATTTTCCTGATTCTTGCGCACTGACCTACTTTCGGATTAGTGTTCCCCAAGCAGAGCACAGCACAATCAGCCAAAGGCAGTGCCCACTTTTTCACATATTTAATAATCTTCCCCCACCCCTCTTCCACTCCCAATCCTTTCCATTTACAACTCACACTCCGCAATCTCTTCTGACTTTAGTTCATCATCCATCGACCTGAACTTCATCGACCTTTTCATCAATTTAATCAACATCAATCAATACAACATCGCCTAAAATGGCTCGCACTAAGCAAACCGCCCGCAAGTCCACTGGTGGCAAGGCCCCTCGTAAGCAGCTTGCTTCCAAGGCTGCTCGCAAGTCTGCCCCATCAACCGGAGGTGTCAAGAAGCCTCACCGATATAAGCCCGGTACCGTCGCTCTTCGTGAGATTCGTCGCTACCAGAAGTCGACTGAGCTTCTCATCCGCAAGCTCCCCTTCCAGCGTCTGGTAAGTCATTTAACCCACATTAATCAATTAAACCCTTTTGATCATTAAACTAACGCGACGCGTCACAGGTTCGTGAGATTGCCCAAGACTTCAAGTCCGACCTCCGATTCCAGTCTTCTGCTATCGGTGCTCTTCAGGAGTCTGTTGAGTCTTACCTCGTCTCTCTCTTTGAGGACACCAACTTGTGTGCCATCCACGCCAAGCGTGTCACCATCCAGTCGGTTAGTACTCACCCTCATACTTCTACTTTCACATCAACACATACTAACAACCATTACAGAAGGACATTCAGCTTGCCCGTCGCCTCCGTGGCGAGCGCAACTAAGATGCTGCTTTCATAGCAACCTTGGCGGATGAATAGGCTTTTGGCGGTCTTTGCACTTTATGATACTCAGGGATGGCATGATGATTCGGTTTAGGGAAAGGTTAATCATTATGGCGTTTGCGAATGCTTTCTACAGATATGGGTTGTACATCAGTGATAGTCAGATGCCCGGTTTTGACCGAGCACTGTGATACTGAAACCAGCATAGGATTCTAAATCTGAAACCCCGGCTGAACAAATTACTTCAAATGACTTCTGCCTATTTTGTGACTCAAATTGAATTAGACCAGTGACTCCCACGATGCCTAGAATTTGTTGTTTTCACTTGTCCACTGTCGCGTGTTCCTACCTTGTCGCGATAATAACTTTTTTTTGGGACGCGTCGCTACCTGTGCTTGAACATTTTTTCTTTACCGCCCCATTCCTACGCATAATAATGATGCTTATTACAACTGTCCTCAACCCCACCACGTCTCCATTCAGACCTAATCTTACCACCCACCTAACATAAATACTGGTGTATTTACTCACACATGGTTTTATAATATTTACATTCCACGATATTTATTCACTGCTGTCTTAGTTAAACTATTTAAACCCTAATTAAAATCCTTCTTAAACTACCTCTTAGAAAATAAAAAAATACATTTAAATGCATAAAAAATATATAGGTTTATAATATATCTTTTCATTTCTTATAATTAATTTAAACTTTTTTTAAAATAATTAAAATTAAGAATTTTTACCCCTCTTTTAACACCGGTCGAAATATTTAAATTTAAATAATTAAAATAATTAAAAAAAATTAATTTAACAACCCCTTTAATATATAAAAAATATCTTAATTAAATTAAATAATTCCTTCCATTAATAATTATAATAAGAGCTTTAGTTAATCCATTAAGTCCTTATTTCCGATAGTTTTTTAAACATTAAATAAACTTAACATAAAAAAATCTAATAATTGTTTCCATTAAACTTCTCTTATAATCGCTTTTTTTATGCGATTAATATTATTTTATTATTAAAAAAACCTATTAATTATAACTTAAAAAGCAATTATATAAATAACATAAATATAACTAGCTCGTAAAATACTTAAATTATTCCTAAATAAAATAATTACATAAGAAAAATATAAAGTAAAATATAAAAAAAAAAAAAGGCAATTTTAAAAATTTAAAACTATCATTAAATCGGAGATTAACGTTAACGAATATAATATTATTTAAGCATTTTTTAAAATATAAAAACGATTCTTATAATAATTCCTAAAAAATATTTAATTAAAAACTTAACTATTTAATAATATTAAAATATATTAAAAGATTTTTTATAAAAAGTTAACTTTTAGTAAATTTATAAAAAAACTAAACGATAAAAATAATATTTTTAAGATATTTGTCGATAATAATAAAAATAATAATAAATTTAAAAAAGTTAAAAGCTTTAAAATTATCGATGTTAATAATAATAAAAAACGTACGCCGACGTTAATATTTAAAAAATCTCTTTTTTTTAATATATTTAATACACGATTAATTAAAAAAGTTAAATCGAAACTTAAATTTTAATTTAAGGCTATTATTAAATAAATAGCTAATAAATTAACGTTATTAATAAACGTTATAATTATTGAAAAAATTATTAATATATTTAAGTAAAAATACGTTAAAAAATTTAACAAAAATCACATAACTTAAATACTCACCAAATTAATAATACTTATAATTATTATTATATTTAATAAATTAATTAAACCTTATTAAATAATATTATTAAAATCTATGAAAAAATAAATAAAATCTCAACTTAAGAAAAAATTAAAAATAATAATAGTTTTTAGTATTTTCATATTTAATATTTTAAAAAAAAAAGATTTAATGGTTTTTTTACATTAGGAAATGCTTTAATATACTTAAATTAAATAACGTTTTAAAATCTCGATTAAATGCTTACGTATTAAAAAATTAATTATATATTAACGTTAATTAATAACTCTTTAAAACTATATATATTAAAAAAAAAATAATAATAATTAATGTTAAAAAAATACCCCGTTATATATTAAAATTAAATAAATGATAAAATATTTTTCTAACATTAATTATTATTATTATTTATTTAACCCTTAAAAATATAATATATAACACTTTTTTATTAACTTTTATTATTATTTTAAACTATTTGATATTAAAAAAAAACCACAACCACTTATTTAATTAATTATTCTCCCACTTAAATTATTAAAATAATCTTTTAAATATTAAAAATTATTTTAATTTATTTAATTGGTTTAATTATAGCCGTTAGTTATTAAATATATTTAATAACTATTTTATAAATTTAAAACGATATAAACCTTTATTTTAACCGATTATAAATATTTATTATTTATATTAACTTTTTTATTAATTTTTTAAAAATTAAATATTTATATTTTTATAAGTAAATTTAATATATTAATTAAATAACTGCCGTTTATATTAATAAAATTATATAAGTTACACACGATATATATAATACGTATTTAAGTTTATAACTTATATTTAAGCGTTAAATTACACATAATTTTAAACCTTTTTTTTATTATTTTAAATACCTTTTTTATTATTACTTAAAAATAAGAATACCTAAAATTATATAACTTTTCCTACGTTTTTAACTAATAATTTAAGTTTTTTTATTCTTATAAATAATATTTTACCGCCGTATAAGGTATTAATATACTTAGCTTTTAATTAAATTTAACATTTATTAGGTAAAATCTTTTTAATATAATTTTAAACAAACGTTTTAACGCATTAAAAAGTAAATATAAATCGTGTATATTTCCTTTAACGTTAATTAATACGTAATTAAATATATTATTAAACCTTATCGTTATAAACACATTTTAAAAAATATATCCCTTTTAATTCCGCTATCGAAAATATTAAGTTATTAATATATAAGCTAAAATATATGTGCCGTTTATAGCGTTAATAACACCGTTAAACGTATATATTATTTAGCTTAACTTAATTTTAAAAGTTATATATAAATCGCTTAATAATTAAATAAACGTCTTATAAAGTTAAATTATTTAAATAAATACGTATTAAAAAATTATAAATATATTACTTTAATTAATTTTAAAATAATAAACCGCGTTACATTATAACTTGTTATATGTAATTATTTAAAAAAATATTATTAATTTTTACGTTATAATTATATATTTTAAGCCTTTAAAGTTAATATTTTCCTTTAATTAAAATAATAATTATTTAAAAATTAACTTTTTTATATAAAAAACCTTTTAAAAGTATATATTTAATAAATTAAGTAATAGCCATTTTATTAATTATCGTGACCGCATTAATTTATAATTTTTATACGGCTTAATCTTAATAATATATCGACGATTACGTTTTATAATTATAGTTAAAATTGCAGTTATAATTATTATAAATATCATAAGTTTATTAATTAATAACTTTATAATATGTTATTTAATTTTTTATATTTATTATAAAAAAGTTTTTTTTTTAATATTAAAACTAAGAAATATTTAACCTATTTTATAAAGTTAAGTTTAATGTAAGACCTTACTTTTTAACCGCTTTTTAAAAAAGGCTTTATTTTTAAGAAAAATAAAGACGCTTTACTTATTATAGTTTAGTTTTTAACCTAATTTAAAAGATACTTGCTAAAAAGCTCTTAAAATTGTTATAAAAATTTTATAAAATTTATGTAAATAACTTCTTAATTATTTTAAGTAAAATGTTATTTTTATATTATAGCTGATAACTTTTATAACCAAAAACCCACTTTATAGCAGGGATATTTAAGTAAAAAGCAGTTTAAGAAAGATTTTAATCAAGGCTTTATATATGTAATTATCGTAGATATAATGGTACATAGTATATTCATGGTTTACGTATTAGATACTTGCTACTCGCTACACTGCCATTTCCTGACGTTGAGATTTGGATGTAGGTTAGGCACTTGTGTAGGTAGGTAGGTAGGTTGGCAGATCTAGGTAATGACTGCGTATGGCGGTCAATATATATATATATATTTATTTTTTTGGTTTACTTGTTTGTTTGTTTGTTTGTTCATTCATTCATTGGTTATTGAGGAGTTCTTTCTTGGTAGATGGGTTGGTTGCCACCTCTTCTCGACAATAATTTGACTGCGGTGTTCTTCTCTAGGTTAGGTAGTAAGTTCTTTGTTCCTCGTTCCGCTCTGCACATGTTCATTCCCCCGCGACCGCGATCATGGATGGCTACATACATGCATGTTCGCGGCGCGCTGTGGTGGGGATAAATAGATGGATGAATGAATGAATGGGTTGATTATCTTGAACCAGTACCTCGTCGTATAGTTATGCAGATGGTATGTAGATATATCAGGCCCGTAGCTGAGTCCGATATGAACAAATGATTCTTAGGTAGTTAGGTATTCACGCCTCTCTGTGGCCGTTGGAGATACCCAGATTGATCGTATGAGCATGAGCATGAGCATGAATGAGTCCATCACTGCGTGTCTACCTACCTAGTTACGCGTGTTATTTCCATCGTCTTCTTCTTCTTCTATGTACCTAACCTAGATGTTTTCTCATATTTACCGTTGTTGGCGAGACTGTACCATTCATACATACATACCTACGTATTAGAGAGGGCTGTGCTGCGTATGGTATTTCTTTCAAAGAGCGAGGGCTATACGTACATGTGAGAGATAGAGAAGTTAGCAGCTATGAAGTGTCTGCATAATATCGCGACCATTGCTAAAAGGTAACAACCGGTGACAGCTAGCTATGATGAACAATGTCTTTCTTTACTTGGGCGGTATCTACACAGATATACACATACACACGTACCTAGGTAGGCAGTGTTGACTCCCATTTTGTGCCTAGAACAACGTCTTTCTACTGTATTGATGAAGACCCGCGATCATACGATGGGAGCCTAGAGACCTGGATGATCCTACGATCCAGGTAATGCAGGTACTTGTGGTAACGAGAAACACAATAGGCACGCCCCCCACCAAAGTCTAGCACGCTTTTCAAGATACATGCAACAAGAAGAACATTTGTATGAACAGTTCTGGTATTTTCCATTGGTTATATAAAAACAAGAGTACATTAAACCTTCCGAACTATTATTGAAAACTCCCGTAAACCTATCAAAAGGATCCGCGTTAGAACACAGATCACCCCCTCCCGTCCTCTCAACCAAGATAATTTTTTCCATTGTTCGGATGCGCCTTAGTAAGAACATCGAACGCTCCCGTGCCTATCTTGCCCAGGCGACCAATAACGATGCGACTACTCGGCGTGTTGAGATCGTCCCAGTCGCCGTCGAGGACAGCATCCTTCAAGAAGGACAGCGTGGTCTCGAAACTCATCTTGGTGAAAGGGCTGACGTTGCCCTTTAGGCCGTTACGGTTGAACGGAGTGAACCCTCCGTTCCTCGTCATGTAGTCGCCGATGAGGTTAAGATGGCGGTTGTCGACACTGATGCCGTGACCGCTGAAGACGCCACTGAGTTCTTGAATGATACTGCTGCGTGCCGCCTCGACTCCGTATATCTGCAACACGGATGCTATGTCGTTGGTCTGGATCCTGTTAGGGTTGATGAATTCGCCGTACTTATGCATAGCCCGGAGGTTGACACCTGTCGTGTGCACTACCTTCTTCTCTTCTTCCTCTCCGGTCAGCGGGTTGTGTATTTTTTCCTTGGCCACGAATGTACACGAGCGAATGCCGTCGATTTGCTGTATCAGTGTCTTCTTAACCGCGTCTTGTACAATGCTTAACATGAGGAGCTTGGGAATATTGGAATCGTATTCGAGTGTGAAATTGCACCACTCGCCCTTGCTCTCATCGCATTCAAACCGAGATACCACGGGGGTCCTCTCCTTGACACGAATCTCACGGGAGGCGCCCTTTTTGCCGCCATCCATATCTTCATCCTCGTCATCGCTTGGAGGTGGAGGACTCCCACCAAACCCTTCGTCTTCGGGCTCCTCGATATCTTCGGGGGACGCCTCACGCTCCATTCGCTTCTGGATCTCATCATCGTCATCATCGTTAGCGCCGTAGGAGACCGCCTGAGACCGATTTGCACGTTGCTTGGCATTTGTAGCATCATCATCACCACCGTCGTCATCGTCATCATCATCATCGCCAGCCGCGGCAGCGGGATTAGCCGAAGCCATTTCCACCACCCCGGATCTAACACCAACCTCAGGTACTGCGCCACCTTCTTTGTCAGTTTTGGCCTTGATTTCCTTCCTGATAAATCTCTGTAACATAGGCAGAAGCTTAGTTTCCAAGGAGTCAAGAACGTCGGAAACACCGATCGCATATGTCTTGCAATATTCTTCAGACGAAAAGAAATTGAGGTAGACATCGAACATCTTGGCTAAGCGGTAACCGACACCCTTGCCAACGCGTTCCTTCACCGTCACTTTGTCGAGAACGTGCGAGAGAGGTAGAATACTAATCGCCTTCGCGAACGTCTCGCCATCTGCTTCGGATAATTCATCGTTGATCAGTAGCGTCATGGACGGAGTAGAAATATGGTTACTCGCTGTCATAAGAATTTCTCTTAACCGGGGAATACCCAGTGTGACGTTCTTGGCAGAATGTCCAGCCAAATGGAAAGTATTCAATGTCATCTGGGTTGAGGGTTCACCAACGGATTGCCCAGCGACGATGCCAACAGCCTCACCGGGCTCGACCAGGGAGCTGAGATACTTAGAATGGAAGATCTTCTCCGCATACTTGCGAGGAACCAGCACAGCACTGGTGTTATTTTGGCTCTTTTGGCCCTTCTCCTTGATCAAACCATCTGCATTTTTCTTGATGTATGCGGTTACCTTCTCATAAAACTTCTCCGAGGTAGCAAAGGCATGGCGGCTAGGGTTAAGTTCGGTGTGAATGGGGTCGAGTCCTTTCGGATTTCTCGTCTTGGCTTGCTTGACGGCCTTCTTCTGGTATTTCTGGGCAAAATCTTTGGACTCGTAAATCTCTTGATCCCATCCCCTTTCGGCTATTCCTAGTCGATCGACTTGTGATGTCTGGTTGCGAAGCACAAAGCTAAAGTCATGCAAGTACATCTGTTTGGTGATGTCTATGCCGTCTTCTCCGTACAGGAATTGGATCATGGACCCGTCGGCATCTCGTACTGAAGAATCGTAAGACACCTTCAGACCCTCCATACCCTTGATCAGACACCTTTGTAGATAACCTGATCGGGATGTCTTAACAGCTGTATCGATAAGACCTTCTCGCCCAGCCATGTGATGGAAATAGTATTCTTGAGGTCGGATGCCAGTCAAGAAACGGTTCACGATGTAACCACCGGCTCGCACACTAGTTTCGAAAGGTCGAAAACAAGGTAACGATTTGCCACTGACCATCACTGGTACTCTCCTACCTTCAAGAACCTGTTGACCAAGATTGCAAGAAATTAGATTGGCGTTGACACCACTTCCTTTGGCACCGGATGTCGTCATAGACTGCATTTGGTTCTTGGGGAACTGCTTCTCGAGCCCAAGAGGGAGACAGGCTCTCGTAACATCGCCGGACAGTATGCGAGATCGCTCGTTCACAACATGATCGAGACCCTCTTGCTTGCTATCGTCACGCATGACTTCCTCCAGTCTCTCCAGCAACAAGGGGTCTGAGCCTGTGATATCCGGCTGGTTATCTAAACTCACGTACCTTGCAGCAGCCTCAAGACCAATACTACTGGCACTCTTTAGCTTGTCCTTGCGAGTCCTTTCGCCCTCGGGCGTGAGCCGCAGATCATCCATACCACAGCTGAAAGCGCACATGTTGAGATACCGGGTAAGCAGCCGACCAAGGCAACTCAGCAACTTGGCCGCGACTTCAGGGCCCCAGATCTCGTGAACTGAATGTATGAAGCCGCCGGAGCTAGGACCTAATTGCGACTTGTCCAGGATGCCGGAGATGAATTCACCGTCGTCAATTAAAACATCGCCTTCCTCCACAAAAACACCCCAAGCATTGGACTTTACAGACGATTTCCCAGCGAGCCAAAGATCACCACACCCAATTGGTTTGATGTTCTTTAACACAGTTGTGATAACCTGCTTTCCAGTCCAGCGCTTGGCCGGTTTCAAGATGGCCGGTGGTACAAGCTCAAGTCTCTCAGATGCGATATGACCGCTCTCTGGTCGCAGTGCGCTGTAAATGAGTTGGTGATAGGCACCTTTATCGAAAAAGCTATCCTTGCTGCAGAGGGCTACTGAGACGGACAGATGATCTTGAATTAGACCACGGAGAGGCTTCCCGGCGGTTGCTGAGAGGTATTGGTGATCTGTATCGGCGATCTTCAAGGCCTCCGCTCTTGCGAGCTCGTTCTGCGGAAAATGCATATTCATCTCATCACCATCGAAATCTGCGTTATACGTGTTGCAGTTCGCGTAGTGCATGCGAATAGTCTTTTCACCGGGTAGAACTCTAGCTCGGTGACCCATGATCGAAGGCTTGTGGAGAGTCGGCTGACGGTTCATCAACACAACATCACCGTTTCCGAGATGGCGATGGACTTTCTTCCCCTTCACTCCTGCATACTCTTGGCTCGATGGGGCCAGTAACTGGTTAGCGAGGGCAACTCGGTCCTCGACCGTTTTGTTCTTTAGATTAATGATCTGGCCGTTTTCGTTCTCGATCGCTGCAGCGCCGGGCCACTTATCGACACCATTGATGACAGCTTGTTGCATATCTCTGAAATTGTGGCTCGTGACCGGTTCCGGGTAGGTTAGCTTCTTAGCAAAGACAGGAGGGACTCCTATCTCGCTAGTCTCGATATTAGGATCCGGGGAAATAACACTTCGAGCAGCATAATTTACACGCTTTCCCATCATGTTCTTTCTGAAAAGCCCCTCCTTCTTTTCTAGTTTTTGCTTAATACCATCTTCATTTCTCTTTCCCGCAGCTCCGCGGACAGGATTCCTATCTCGATCAATTAAGGAGTTGACGCTATCCTGAAGTTGAACGCAGGCCTCATGCATGTCGGATATATCTCGTCGTCGAGTTGCCGCATCAGAGTTAGTCCCGTGTTGAGAGATATCCTTGTGAATTTGGGCAATCCGCGTGCACGATGTAAGAATCTGCTTGTAAAGGGAATTCTGCTGGGCCTCTGCAATTGCTCCGTCGCCCTGTCGAGCTTCTGGGCGATATTTATTTGGCGGGACAAGAACGGTTTGTATGAAGAAATTATCAGCGGGCAATTTCTTTCCGAGAGGTCTCGAGTTGTAAACTAGGCCCATTATTTCCTGTTCCTTTTCGAATAGGAGTTGTAACCGAGCCTGAACTTCCATCGAGTTTACATAGCGTTGCTGGGACTTGGCTTCTGTGTCCTTTTTCGTCTTGGAGCCTTTTGAAACGGCACCGGCTTCTGACATGACGACATCGCCATTTTCATCAAGCTCCTCACCACTCCCTTCCTCATCTTCGCTCTCTTCATTCTCCTGCTCGATCTCACCCTCGCTCGATGGAGGATCTATATCGGCTATTCCCTCGTCTGTCTCATAGCCACCTTTCTTGGCTACGGTTACTTTGGCCTTCCGTCTGATAGTTAAGGCATCCCTGTGCTCGAAGTTTCGTAACGCCATCTTGGCCTGATCTTTATTGCTGAGCGGTTTCTCGAAGATCTTGACAAACCGATCTTTTCTGAAGCTGGGAGATATGGCTTGGCATGTAGCGCAAGCCCTACCCTTGGTGATGTCCTTGAAGAAGTTTTTGAGTACTTCCCTCCGCGTTTCTGACGCACCTTCATGCTTCCCTTTTCTAATGTCGGCAGTCGTTAACCTATATTTCTTCAGTGTCGCACGAGTGTATGCCTCTCTCAGACGAACAAGTTTGTCAAGCGCCGAAACTTCTTCGCCCTCAGAAAGATCTTCATCTTCTACCTGTATATCGGTAGTTTCGGCAGTGATTTCGTCAAGGTAGTTTGCGGCATCGATTAGACCGAATTGGAGAAGACGCAGCTTGCATGCGACAAGGCTAAGGTCGGCCCGTCGCATACGAAAGCGAAAGCAATACTGACATTGAGCACGGAGCAATCGCAAGATCTGGTCCATAAAGACCGGGTGATAAACAGGAACAGGAAGATCGATGTGGCCAACGTGGCCCGGGCAATTGGGTTGGGTGAGATTGCATGTGGTGCATCTAGTCGAGTTGCATTAGTAATTGCGACTACTCATTGTCTCTATTTTGTCTATTTTACTCACACTGAGTCTCCCCAAGCGCCGAGAGCAGGATCGTACAGACCACCTGGGATGGGATTCAAAAGACTGTCGAAAGTGGTCGGGTTCTCGATCCTTTTGACTGAAATGGCCTTGATTTCGGCGGGAGTGAGAAAATCAAAGTCGACACTGTCGATAGCCGACGGTATAGGCTGAGAGACATTCATGGTTGATGGTGTTGCGACTTCATAACCTGGTATAGTTTCCTAGGGTGTAGGGTGAATCTTCAGGTTTGAGTTAGTAGAATTGAGAAATTCAAGTTGATTTAAAGATAGTCAAAAGGATTCCTATCAAAAACCTATCAACTGATTGACTTGGACATTGCGCTTGTGTCTTGTTTCTTATTATATTTTTTTCGGTTTCCGTTACTATATCAAACGGTTGGACGAGTTGAAGGTTGCAAAGCCTTTTTTTAGTGGGGTTTATCGAATGCGCCAAAAGCTGGAGCTCGAACTTTTTGGCGGTGGTGAGAGGCAGAAACATGAGATGAATTTGACGCTACATACATGTAACTACCTAACCTAGTACCTATGTAGGTTAGTTCCAACTGTTCCATACAGTACGAAGTATCTCGTACCTTCTGAGTCATGTGATATTAACTACTTGGCGTCTGGTTTACCGATAAGCACTCCACTAACATTGAACGTTAAACACTGCATTGAATTTGAACGTTCCTAAAAGTAACCTTAGGTACCTTCGTACTACTGGCAGCTTCTGAGTTCAAAGCTTCGATGTTCAATGTTCTTTTTTGAACATTCAAACCCTTTCAATTCTTTATCAAGCCTCATCCCCCAATCCTTTTTACTTGGGCTTCTTTCAATTCACTATATTTTATCGATCGAACGGAACAGCTTCTTAAACTATCTCAACTTTCAGAAACAATAATATTTACTATCACGTAAGGCTGCAATAACACCCTTTTCTCATGGATCGACACGGCTCACCTGGCCTCGGGCCTCGTAACGATGCTGGATCTCGAGTGCAAAAACCAGAGTCCGCATCGGATAAAGCAGCTAAGCTCGCCGCATTAAAAGCTCGCGTGTCAGCTGCTATAGGTACTACTAAAGCGAAAGGTGGACTAAATGTTGGACTTCATCCGGCATTAGAGGATATTGGACAATGGAAGCCTGGCAATAACAAATCCAACGACACAAGAGCCGGCTCAAGCTCGCGGCCGCGTAACGATGGCGGCAGGCCCCCACCAAAACAAAAGACCCTCGATCTATCCGGACCATCGCTAGATGAAATCAAAAGTAACCCATATTATGATGCGAACCTAGGCGCCCCGAGCGTGAAACCGAGACAAACCCGTCAGCTTGTATTCAACCAAAAAGGAAAATATATTCAACAAGCGAACGCGCTGAGGAGGCAGGCAGCGCTCGAGGCCTTGAAGAAGAAGATTGCCGCGGGTACACGGAAGGTCGGAATAGACGAGGACAAAGACGTCGAGAAGAGTTTTCTAATTGATGCGCCTCCGGAGATCGAGTGGTGGGATGAAGGCTTAATAAATGGCAAGAATTATGATGATATCGATGACCCAATGGCTATCAAGATCGACACGGAGGATACTATAATAACCAGATATATCCAACATCCCGTCCCGATCGAACCACCTCAGGACAAGAATGTGCCTGCGCCGAAACCTATGTACCTTACCCCCGCGGAACAAGCCAAACTACGTCGCCAGCGCCGAATGGGTGACTTAAAGGAGGAACAAGCCAAAATCAGGCTCGGCCTTATCCCAGCGCCGCCACCCAAAGTCAAGAAGGGTAATCTAATGCGCGTGCTCGGAGAAGAAGCCGTCAAGGATCCTACGGCCGTAGAGGCGCGTGTGAACCGAGAGATTGCCGAACGACACGCGAAGCACGTGGAGACAAATGAGGAACGGAAGTTGACCAAGGAGCAAAAGCACGAGAAGCTCGCAGCGAACCAGGAGAAGGACGCAGCCAAGGGGTTGCACATGCTAGTTTTCAAGATAAACAGCCTAGCGAACGGGCAGCACCGGTACAAGATCAACATCAACGCGGACCAGCAAGCCCTCACGGGCATCGTCATCATGCACCCGAAGCAGAACCTCATCATCGCCGAAGGCGGCGAGCGCTCCATCATGCAGTACAAGAAGCTCCTCGAGAACCGCATCAACTGGACCGAGAACCTCGCCTCGCGCGAGAAGGACGCCCAGAACGACGGCCTCAAGCAGTGGCTCAAGGCCGAGACCGAGAACGGCGACCTCAAGGACCTCGCAGAGAACCAGTGCAAGCTCATCTTTGAGGGCGAGATCAAGTCCCGCGCCTTCCGCAAGTGGGGCTCCAAGGTCTGCGAGACCGATTCGGAGGCTAGAGAGGTCCTCTCGAAGTCGAAGATGGAGAATTTTTGGAACCTTGCCAAGTCTACTCGTTAATGAGGGGAGAAGGGGGGTTGGATGGATCGCTTATTTGTTCGTTCGTAGCTTGTGTATGGGCTACATACCTGCCTATCACCTTAGTTAGTTAGGTAGATACCTACCAACTTTTGGTAGTCAGATTAAGAAGATTGTGTAATAGCAAGATGTGAATCATCTACGATTGATCAATAAGAAACTGTAGAAGTGACCCTTTTGACCAAATTATTGTATTAAACCTAGGTTAGGCACATCCCTGTGCGTTTTTATCGTTCTGCATTTTTTTCTTTTTTGTCTCCCTCTGTCCCTCTCCAACGCCGATGTATGTAATTCTCAAACCAGTCAGTCAGTCTGGGTACCCTAGTGACTATTTGTTATTATACAAGAGATCCCCAACTTTTGTGTGGATTTGGTGACTATCCACCACAACATAACAACAGGGTCATCCCCCAAAACTTAATTCTTTAGTCTAGTCAAGCTGCATCATCTCGCGATCGAGGTCCTCATCATCCATATCATAATCCTCATCGTACGCCTGCCTCGCCTGGGCCTGGGCCTTCTGGAACGCCTCGAGGGCAGCAGCATTGCCGTCCTGGAGCTCCTGGATGCGGTCCTCGTCCATCTTCTTCTGGTGCGCTTTCAGGTCTTCGAGGCTCCACATGCTGATCCCTTCCTGGTCCTTGGACTTGAAGGGGCGGGCCATGTCGCGCAGGAAGCGGCGGGCGGTGATGATGGCCATGTCGGTGCTGAGGTTGCCGTCGACGTCCTGCATGGCCTGGTTGATCCACTTGGGCAGCTGGAGGCGCTTCTTCTGGAAGCGCCGGTCCGCGAGCACCATGATGCCGTAGTCGTCCTTGCCGCGCAGCACGCGGCCGAGGCATTGCGCGGCGTGCCGCATCGCGTCGAAGGAGAGGAAGTCGTTCTCGCGGATGCGGTAGGTTTCCCGGAGGAACTCCAGCCGCGCCTTGAGGATGCGCGATTCTGTGTATTGGAACGGGACGCCGATGCACAGCACGGTTCGCCCGTATTGGTGGTCGAAATCAATGCCTTCCGAGACTTTTCCGCGGGCGACGCAGAGGAGCACTGCGCCTCTCCCGTTGCAGCAGGCAGTGCGGTACGCCTCGAGAGCTAGTGAGGTCTCTTGTGCGTCCGGCGTCTCCACCAATACCAGCTTGTACTTCCAGACCTCGTCCATTATGCGCATGCCTTGCCACATGCTAATGATAGACTCCATGTACAAATAGGAGGGGAAGAACACGACGAGGCCATCGGGCGTGATTCTTGCAAATTCGGTTAAGAGATTGCCGTAGTTCCGTACCACGCTTGGTTCATTTCTGACCGTGAAGCTGGTGGAGATTGCAGCCTGATCACTTCCTCGAGTAACTATCATCGGCAGGAAAGACCTTCGAGCTAGGGTCATGGTGTATGACTCCTGGACCACTGTAGAGAAGCCCAGCATTTTCGGGTACATTTCTAAAGGCGAGAGCGTTCCCGAGGTGATGATGACGGAGCTGAATCTGTCGAATACAGGCTTGATAGCAATTGCAGCATCCAAGCAGGTGAAATGTAAGACTGGGTTCGGTACCTCAGCAGTGTCGGACTCGAATGGTTCGAGGATGAGCAAGAAACCCTTTTCGTAGGTGGCAACAAGAGTCGCGAAGGTAGCTACTTCTTGTAGTGGCTGATAATCTTCGATATTGGTGAGTTCGAGAGTTCTTACGAGAGATGTTAGCCTTTCAGCACAGAATCGTAAGGGCTTCTTTTCGATAAAAGTGTGTTCCCTTAGATGAGCTAGGAATGAAGGGGGCGTCTCCGAAATGACCTGGCGGACTTTCATGCGTGTCTTGAGGTATTCTATGAAGCGTTTTAAGAAAGCGGTAAAGTGCTCTGCTCTTCGAATGTTACCGGGAACCGCCTCCTTGAGCAAGTCGTCGGGGAGCACAGGGTTCGCCATAAACGTATCCTCCTGGCGGCCTTCGTCGGCATCACGAAGACCCTCTACTAGCTTTTGGTATTCATTCTCTAGTTGCTCCCTGTCTGTTTCTTTCATCTCGGACACTCTACGTTCAAGATTCTGGGCACCTCTCGTAGCCCTACGCAATGAGTCTTCTGTGATGTCCGTGCTCAGGGACTCGATACAGACATTGTCTATATTATGGGCTTCATCGAAAACAACGATGCAGTCCTTGGAGAGGTCTTTGGAGACGCGCTCTGCGATCTTGGGATCTAGCAGGTAGTGGTAAGAATATATGATGACATTGCAATATTGCATCTACAAGATGAAAGGTAAGTTTGCTTTCAAAAGAACGAGAACCAGACGTGTAAAGGGTAAAAAGACCTACCATGCGTCTTGCGGTGAAGTAAGGGCACTGCTTATGCTCTTCACCATATCTTAGGAGACCATCAAGAGTCCAGACGCCATTAGGGACAAGATTATGTGGCTCCAGGAGGTCTAGGTTGTCGTGGTATATGCAGGTGTCGACGCTCTCACCCTTGTCTTTCTTCTCTTTGACGAAGCCAGCTGTCAGGCTACGGCATCTGGCGTCTACAATGGCACCACTCTTCTCTCTCTTCACGGAGGGATGAAGACAAAGATTCTTGCGACTCGTGAGGCCTAGCCCGCGGAATTCTTCCACGTGACCCAGTTCATCAGCCCGGAATTTCATCAGAGCTTTTAATTCTGCTAAAGCCTTCTCAATCTCTGACATGGTACGCGAGCAGTATATCAGTTTGCGGTGCTCGGGATAATGCTGTTGATATGCGACAATCAGAGAAAGTAGCGAGACGGTCTTGCCTGTACCTGAAGGCATCTCTAGGACACAGTGGCCACCGGCATCGAGGCTCCTTTTGAGATCACACATGTAGGCATACTGCTCAGGATATATGCGTGGATAGGGAAAGAGGACAGGCAGGTCATCGATGAAGAACTTCATCTTTGCTAGAGTTGTGTTGAGTGCGATAAAGAAGGCAGTAATGTGCGGTGTGTGACGGTGTGAGACGAGCAAGATTCAATGTATTCCCTCTGCGTCTGCGAGAAAGTCGTAATAGCTGTTATTGTTGGTGTTGATGGAATAAAAAATGGCAACGTTTTTTGTCCACTGCGCAGTTTGAGGGTTGAAAGGTTTACAGGTATGTCAGTAGCAGAATGGGTGGCATTATTTACGTTGTTAAGCTAAAGGAAAAAGAAAAAAAATAAGAAAAAGGCTGTCCTGCGCTTTTGCTTTACTACCATGTGTACTAAGTATATGGTAGGTAATTTTCCTTGGTCAACCTCAGGTAGAATTTACCGGTCATGTGTTACTGTCGTGAAGTTGAAGATGGTAGGAGCCTCAACTTTTAAGGTTGACGTTGAATACCGTTGACACTAGACTAACCTTACAGGCTACAGCTAGCTGAAGGTCAACGACATGGCATGTACGAATATGCATGAAGTTAGTGTCTGGCAGATAAGATAAGGTGAGCCTAGTGGCGCATACGGGTTGCTTGCTAAAACGCCACATTTTGCTGCCACACTTTAGGAAACCACGATCCCGAAGTAGAGTGGGCCGAAGGTATTCCAGGTATCCACATCTACGAAATACCTAAAATGAATTGAACTCAATTTGAATTCAACAAACAACTTCTAACTTTATGATGCACACTCAACATCTATCAATATCAATATCAATCTTAATCAATGAAGTTCATGATACAACTTGTCTAATAGTTTCTTTTACTATCGGCTACATTGCAATCAAATATGGTACGTAAGAATACCTACAAATCCATTGCTTCGGCACCACTGTGCTGCTATTAGTGGGTCCATCCTGCTATGCACTGTCCATTCCCATCATCTTTGGAATCATCGTTGATACTTTTGTTAATTCTGAAAACTTACAGTAACATCAGATTGAAAGGGATCTTGTCATGAAGTTGTAATAAAGTTTTCTGGGCCTGGAGACAAGATCTACGGCTCGTGGCATCGGGATGAGCCGAAAATCTACGAGACGCGCATTATTAGGCAACAATAATCGGATTATAGATGTATCGTAGGAACCTCTCTCCCGATGGCGGACGACTCGTCCCGATGGCTTCCACTTCAACCATGGAGTTGGGTTCGGGTGTCGCTCGATGAACCAAACTATCGGTTCCGGCGCAGTACATTAGGCCATTTGAAATACATTTTGCGCCGCTTCTTTTTTTTCTTCTTTTTCTCTGATTGTTTCCCACCCATCTGTCCTCTTTTCCCTTTTCTTCTTTGATGGTTATTCGTCCCAACTTGATTAACCCCCTAACCCCCCTAACATACCTCCTAAGTAAACATACAGTAATCGACCAAGGAGACGAACAAATCGCTTATTCACTTGTCATAAATTGAATCTCATGATACTATCCTAGGTAACCAACTTCTCTACTTAGTAGGTGGTACAGCATTCAATCTCATCGAAATTTAGGCAACGGTGCGAAACTCATCCAGTAACACAGCGTTGCAGCTGATGCGATGCGATACCTTCCGTCATCATTGCTCTCGTTTTGAACCCTAAAACGGACACCTACAATATATTCGAAACCATATTGGAAGCACCATCAGCTCTCAGCCTCCAGCCTTACTCACAATACTATTTTAGGGTGTCGCACAGCTGCACTCATCGCGAGGCTGCATAGGTCACCTAAGTTGTTAACCACCAGGCTACAGAAAATACTACGCAATATATTATTTCCTCAATCTTGTTTCAGGTCATGCCAAAATTCGAATCCTACGAAGTCAAACTAAGCTGCGGCAAGGCGTTTACCAACCACAAACAGTTTCTCACACAGGCACAACCCCTTTATCAATCGAGATCCTCTCACACCCTCCAACTCATTTAGGGGCCATGCATTGGATGCTTGAAAGGTGGATGAACCGTCGTCACTGCACCTGACCAGCGTAGTGTTCCATTCTGCATACAACAGTGATAGACGTGGTAGAATCGAATAAGCGCCGAAAGAGATTACGAGGGGATTCTATGTTTTCAAAACGAGCTACCACTACGTTCTTTACAAAACTTTGCGAATCAACCGCTAGTCTCAATGCCGTCCATCCACAAGTAGAAGCTTAATACCAGCTGCTTGTCATACAGACGATATATTTAGAATTACAAAGGTCTAAGCCTAGGAGTAACGATTTTCGCAAAAGACCATCGATGCCTGACGTTGTAGCGGTTGCTAGTGCGTCGAGGAGCCTGCCGTTGAGCTGACCGAGTCAGAGACTTCGAGCACGTGTCTATTTCTTGCACGAATTCGCTCATGAAATGCCTGAGGAAAGAAAAACTAGATCTGTACACTTGCCATATTAGGTACTAGGTAGGCTATGCATGTAATTCTTCTGTTGCGTGTGCAATAAAGGATTCACGAGCTCCAAAAAATGTCTCCTATTCTAAGGCTATATCCAAGCCCCCCTCCATCTAAAAGAAATAATATATAACCAGACTCCTTGATTATTATCAGAGCCGATGACGAGACGTTTTGGTAAAGGAGCAATTGCAAAGAATCTACCGAAGGTAACCCCTGAATATGGCTGTGTACCTCATCTTTCCCAAGAGACAGGGATATTAGAGCATACCCAACTTGTCCAGTCACTCAGTGCACATATAGGGATAGTTCTAATTAATTACTACTATAATGCATGCCGAATCGGTCTCAATATAGGTCATTGGGTATCGAAATAAGATATTTAATGCGCATCGCTCTCTCCTCTTGCATGGAAGCATTCCCGCAAGTGGTCGCTTATAGTGATTTGGGAAACGAACAGCAAACTTGTTAGCTACTGGATATGTTTTCTGAAACATTGGACATGTGGAACATATTCCTTCAGACTTCTGGGCTGGGAATTGTGAACTTTTCGAATACTTAATGCTTACGGCTTACAGCTTACGTACAGTTAGATACATTATTTGACTTGTCTGCTGCCCTGCATGGCTGGACGTAGTAGCCAAAATTCATGGTGGTCCGTAATCCGACTCTCCCGGCCGAAACACGTGGGTCACGGCAGCAGACTTAGGGTATGGGGGCCGGATGGAGAAGGGAAAGCCTTCTTCAGCTCTACCTCATTTTTTAAATGTTACTGACACCGCTATGCTACATAGGTAGATAGGTAGTATCCACATCAGGTACATAAGTGGGATATCTCCTCTCCCACCACATGTATGTACATCCCTCGTGGGTGGGCGTGTTTTATGGAGTGATGGGGCCTGTCGTCTTTTAGTAGCACTGGTAGTGGATGATGCATTTGGGCGACCCGGCGGCTGTCCTTTTCCTTATCCCTGTTATTCGGGAAAAAAGAAGGGGAAGAGCTAGGCGAGCTGGGCATGACACGTTGATACTCAGTATTAGCATGCAATATGGTGTACCTTTGCGCAAACTTGCTCCTATGAACGTTTTCTTGATTTACATACTGCTGGAATGATACTGGCTTAACGCCATGAAAATCATCCCTGAGGATATAACTAAACGGCGGCAGGCGGTGCATTCCTCATTCTCTAACGATTTCGAGTACGTACCAGACCGCCCCGTGGCCGGCCTGCATCTCTGGTTATATCGAGGTCGCCAGGGTAGGACCTGGACCCCTTGTATAGAAGTGAAACAGATTTGAAAGATATTTTTATCTAATTGAGCTGCATAGTTATGTATATCGTAAGGACTTTATCTTGATGGGACTTTTACGTACTGTACATATGGCCTTAGAGTCGTTGGAACCGCAAGAACTGCGAATGATGGCCTTCGCTAACACTTACACTGCCTACCTGCCTACCTGCCTACCTGTCATAGTCGAGCCTGAAACTCATTAGGCCCTATGCAGTACTACAAGCAACCTACCTCATCGATTCTTGCTAGAATCTATTTATCGAATACTCTCTTTACCTAAGAAAGAAGTAGGCCGAAATGTCGCTTGAAGGGCGCGAAGTTAAGATGGGTCCACCTCGAAGGAGGAGCAGCGATGAGGCTGATTGGATGAAGAGAATGATAAGGTTGCATTGTTTCTAAAAGAAGACTTCCTCGTCTTGGAACGCTTTACTAAAATAGGTATATCGAAAGTGTTAAATAAACTTTTTATTCATTTAATTCGTTCTAGTTATAGTTACCCATAACTATTTTACTGCCCATTAGTTACACTATGATGTGCCCATCTATGGATGCATGTATGCTACCGTACATAGCGTAGGAGTAAGTAGTGTATATTCTGATGGTATATTTAGTACATACCTAGTTACCTGGTAGTGGATGGGAGTTTACCTTTAATTTGGAGGTTTAAGTTGCTGTGTAACTAGCTATAATATGTATCTTATATGTATCTTATATACCTAGTACTCACATAAGATAGTGTTCATTAATGATTACCTCCGTCCGACGGATGCCGAGAATCCCCATACTGATCATTAACAGTGAGTGGGTGAAGTGCTAAACCCCGGCAACGGCTTTAGTTCAGTACCTAAAGTTACCCATGTCCCATCGTCCGTCGCCCCGTTGCCCGCCTGTATTCTACTGTGGCTGCCCACAAACCCCTTGTCTACATACCATGTAGTACCTAGTAGTGAAGGTAGTACAAAGTACACAAGATACAAAAATACATGCGATGCCCCTGTCATTGAACTTCAACATTGGAATCCTCCAGCTTAGATACATAAGTACATAGGCAGTAACACCAAATTGAAGGCTCTTGCCAAGAACTCTATACCGGATTTGTATTTTTACACGTAAAAAAGATCGGGGCAAACACGTTCTCTGCCCTACTGTTCCACATTAATAATCATAGGTTAGTCAGACATCACTAGGGGAGTCCAGGGTCGTCGTAAAAAGAACCAACAGATTCTCATCACGCAATGTTGCTACTCTTAAATGCTAAACGACGCGTCCACACTAGCACTCAACAGGATGAACATCCAAACCAAACCAAACCACACCAAACCACCCCTAACTATTCCCTCTATTCTTTCCTTGTTATGTCATGCCATTTTTTTTATTTTACTTTTTTTTTTTAGTTCTGGTTTTTTCCCATGATTAATGATCTCTGTGTTACAGGCGAGCCGGCTCCGCGTTTTGGTCGATCGTGGGGGAGAACATCAAAGCATATCATCCTGTTCTCTCCCATAGTACATAGCATCGAGCTCGTTTTACACATATGAACCATGAATCATGAATGATTCGTGAAATCTAGAAATAAGGGACCTACATACATCTTCAATCGCCGACAACTCCGCTTCACGGGCTCCTCTTTAAGCCCCCATTTTGCTCAGATATAAAATCCATTACCTGTGAATAGCCCTGATGACATAGACATAGAGGCGGCTCTTTACTTCACGACCCTCTACTAACGTTACCTCTGTAGCAGTCGGTGTGTATGTGTATAGCATGAAGTCAAGGCGCACCTGCGAGAAGTTGGATATTGTCTATCCATATTACCTATCCTTTGCAATTCGTCTACAGTTACGACCAAATACCCTACGTACCTGTTGAATATCCCTTGAGTAAGGTACCTAGGTATGTACGCACTTAATTTATAAGGAGACAGCTATCTATACATCTTAGACACTTATTATACCCCCTTTCTACCTACCTAACATAGTATATGGATAACCAATACCCTAATACCGAGATCTAGCTTCATCTTCAAGCATATCGGTTAGACACTGTCCTTCCGTAGCAGGCAGAGTATGTAAGTACATACATATGCTAATTCAGGCAAGTAGGTAGGTATGTAATAGGTAGGTTGGTTCAAATATTCTTCGGTCTATCAAAGAACCCAGTGACCGTCTCCCGGCTCCAACGTTCGACGTCGTACGGTATTAGTCACTTCCCCATCTCTCTTTCATGTTTCCTTGTCTGTGGGAATTTTCTAAGTATGGAAATCTACTGCCACCAGAATACTCCTACCACTACATCGATCCATGGACCATGGACCATGGATGTATTTGTGTACACTATTAGTTATGCTACTAGGTATGCATTAGTCTGACGTTATGGACCCTATGTTATGTTCATGGTTCCTCCCCCTGGCCGCCCCCCCTACACCCACCACTTTCAACTCTGCCGCGGGCAGGTTACCTAGTATTCGAGCACACCCTCCCCCTGGTAGCTCTTGTACTTACATACATCTCATCTATGGATACATACATACATCTAATATGTACCTACCTAACATAATACATACCTATGCCCTCAATTTTGATATACTGCAACTTGACCAAATACGACATAGAAGAGAATAATTGGGTCGGCCTTATGAGCATCCATAACCTACCCCCCCGGTAATCTACCTGTGTATAATTTTCCGTCTCTTGAGTCTGCCTTGACGCATCGCGCTTGGGTGGCTCTGCCTCACTATGTTTATCCCGCTGCAGATATGGAGTACGTTTCACTCCTACAGTACAGTATTGTATGTACATGTGTACATGTATACTATCCATAGATGTATACTACTACATGTATGTATGTATACCATGTATACCATGTATACCATGTATACATCTCTCTTTCGAGATTGCCGTTATTACATATGTACCCAGGGGGGGTGTGTGTGCCGGGGTGGTTGATGCTCCCAGGAACGGGACTCAGTATAACTATTGCTTACATCCCAACTGACTCGATAGTCTCTTCTTGTATCGACACACCTCTATATATCCAACCTCAAATCATAGTCATCAAATACATATCTAGGAAGACGTTTCGTACAAAGTTGTTCTTGTGTCTTCTTTAGATTTGCCTTGTTGTACAACCACCAGTCCACTTCCTTCACTTCCAATACGCCCAACCTTATATCTGTTGGAACGTATCCTGCGTGATACCGCCCCATGATGGATCTGTCACCTCCATCCTTGACTCGGTCGCCGGCGTCACCAAGTACAAATTGCTCCGGCAGCCCTGTTCTAGATTACCCTTCGCCGGACTTTGTAGACCCCATCTACAAAATCACTACTATGTACGAGCAATCTTGCGCATCGATGCCTTCCCACATGGACTCTGAGCACCAGCTCCCGCCTTTGGACGTCATGACTTCGAACGACTGGAATGGAGCTTCCGTGATGCATCACCACTCGACGTTAGCGGCGCCGAATATGATGGCGTCCGAGTATGACTCTTTTGCTCATTACGAGCACAACATGCATGCGCATTACAGTCACGATCTATACCCACCTCACCCGTCTCAGGCGTCAATGCTCTCTAACCACCATACCCCCTCGTTATCTTCAACCGCCTCCCATTCACCAGAACCATCGTCGAGACATGCCTACAGTTATCCTCAGAGTGTCTCGCCCATACCGCGAATCAAGATGGAAACACACGCTCCCATTGACTATTCAAGCGGGACCGAACTAACTCAGTACCCCTCACCTCGTTCTGCCCATTTACCTCTAGAGCCCAGTAGCTATGGCTCGACTGCCGGTAGCTCAGGCTATCTATCAGATGTTCCCTCAGGATCGTGGCCCAAGTCGGAGTATCCGTCGCTCGATTCCGACCCGTACTATGGCGGACCTAGCAGTGCCGCGACGTACTCACACGACAGGCGACAGCTTCGCGTGCCGAGGACGCAGAGGAGACAGCCCCGGAAACTGACGACAAAGGAGGAGGCCAATTTCCAATGCGAGGTTAAGGGGTGCGGCAAGCTCTTCAGCAGGAGCTACAATTTCAAGGCGCACATGGAGACCCACGACGAAAAGAGAGAGTATCCGTTCCCCTGCACGGTGCCGGACTGCAACAAGAAATTTGTACGAAAGACGGATCTGCAAAGACACAACCAGAGCGTTCACATGAAGGAGAAGAACCACCGATGTGACTACTGTGGTCGCATGTTTGCGCGGAAAGATACCCTTCGAAGGTGAGTTTCTATTATTTTTATATATATGCCTTGCTGGAAGAACATACAAGCTAACTAGTAATATCTATAGACACATGGAAGATGGATGCTCGAAGCGCTTCGACCTGGGAACCTTAGACTTGCGTGCCGAGGGCTACAACGCCTACCCGACGCCCACGAGAACACTCGGCAGCACTCCAAATCACCTAGTAGCACCACCAGCGCAATTACCGCCTGTGACCATGTCCCAAGTTAGCAATAGCAACCTCTTAGCTCCGATGCCTTACACGAAGAGATGAAAAAGCTCCCCCCTACCCCTTTATTTTACTTTTTACCTACGATGCTTGACGACGAAGACTACGACGAAGTGGAGGGATACACGCCATGTCTACCTCTCGAAACTACTACATGGGAAGGCTATTTTTTTTCTTCCGGGTTTTTTCATTTTCTATCTGTACGAAATACCCTTGGGCAGGGTTGGCCTGGATCGGTTCTCAGTGGGGAAAAATGGGCCATAAACGATTTTTATCATTGGGAGGATCATCTGCTGTTTTTTTTCCCACACTTTTTGGGTCGTTGGATATTAACTATCGGGGAAAGCGATTGCTTTGATTCTGTATTATCAACTTTTTTACTCATTAACATTGCCCTTTATCAATGTTCGCTTTAGAACACTAAGCTCGTAGCAGCTAGTATGCGATCTGGGCGGCGGCGCTCAGGGGGGGTATGGGTAGGTGGGTAGGTTGGTGGTTAGGCTCTACACTATACATAAGTACATATCACATGGATCTCTAGGTTAGGCGGGGAGGAATGGAATGGGGAGGGGGGAGGGGGATGGGAGGCTTTTTCTTGGAATTCCCACAGATTTTTTGTAGATAGTCTAGCTCTCAATGAAGCAAAGATACACACACAACAACCTATTATACCCACTTAAAATACGGTACAAAGTCCATTTTAATTCTTCTATTTTTGGGTTTCTTGGCTTTTATCAGAACTACAGATAGAGAGAAAGAGACAGACAGTGTGTGTATATTCATGTGTTTACGGATACGTAATAAAATAGATATTCAATGTTGATAATAGTCAATGCTACGTACGTAGATAGACAATTATCAACAAAGGCAGACCAGAGCTTTAGCCTAGTTACCTTTTTGCTCTGACGTACATCCGTTATGAAACGAGGACACAAGAGCCCAAAGCCCGGGTCAACGTATCCTAAACCTATCACCACGTTCTTGGGTCTCAATTATAATAATTAAGTGCCAACAGACAGTGAAAAAAAAAAAGAGAAATAAACCTCCCCCGTAACCAACCCGGCTTGCTGCTCTCCGTTACTTCCGAAGCCTGGGTCATAATGCACTTCCATGCGTACATATCTTGATGAATGAATCTAGTATTGCCTGCCTACCTACCTACGTATCCATTGGAAAGCCTTCTTCTTCCTCCAAAAGATCTTAGGCTTCAGCTTCCGCCAATCATGTTTCTTCCGTTGGTTGGACATCTACGAATGGTAGCTTTCAAAGGAGCTCTAACACAAAAAAAAAACAATACCTACGTAGTAGATAGGTAAAAAAAAATAAAAGATTTTGTAGATGCGTCAGGGTTCAGTGTCACCAACCTGCAGGGTCTTACATCATTCATCATATAAGCCAACCCTGGCGGGTGCATTATGGTAGGTCGTCGCATACGACCAACCAGAGACCCGAGAGCTGGAGCTGACAGGGGGGGGGGGGGATGACAGATGTCATCAAAAAGGGTACCTACGTTTTCATTTTATTATACACGCATTAACAAAACAAAAAAAAACAAGACTCGCATTTATTACTGCCTGCCTATGTAGTATCACCAGAAAAGCTTATGAGATGCGGACTTGCCAATAATAACATGATACCTATTCCGGCCAACTAGGTAATGCGGTATTGTATGTATGTATGTATGTAAAGTGGGAAGGGGGTTTTTAATATCACAGATCACCGCAGCGAAAACCCCGGTCTATATGTCAATCCGGAAGAGCAGTTCGTGGAATAGTTCGATTTGATAAGCATTGTGCTACTGTGAGGCTACTGTATGTACGTCGGTAGGTAAGGTATGTATATGGTAAACCAAGGGCCTTGATAGTCTCAGAAGATGAGCGACGTCTACTGTTTAGTAGGTAGGTACCCAGTAATAAATATGTGTGCGACCCACGCAGCCATGTAAGTTATATGTACATGTTTAATAAGTTCAGTGTAAGCTATCCGTACCAACGCCGTCTGACCAACAACATTCGAAAAATACAATCGTATCATATGTAGTCGAATACAGTATAGTATTACATACCTAGTACCTATATAACATAACTGCGTATACTTCGTAATACCTATCTACTTAGACAAGTATTTACATGAGGTAATATATCCGCATATATACAACTAATAGGCAATAACCCTTGATTATCTAATACAACAAACCCGGCGATCCAAGCCTTCGAAAACTCATGAAGGTGGAAATGATGTTGAATTTCCGAGTCATGAGAATGTAATAATTATGTTCTAATGTCCATGGATATGTATCTAAGCAGGTATCCGTATCCTAGTAGGTACATAGTACGGTCCCCGCGGCTCTCGGGGCCCAGCGTCGTGGATTGGCTACCGATTGGGTGGAGCAGCCGGGCGGGCACGTGCACCGTTTTGGCATCTTTTTGGGGGTCCCGCCCACCCATTCCAAGACGTACATACCGTAGCGTACCCTAAAAAGCTAAAAACTCGACAACTGATGAACTTGAACCTGTCTGTGTTTCTTGTGGAGACGCTAGCCCAGGGTAAATTGACGCGGGGACTAGATTGATTGGCTGGGATAATAATGGTAATGTATTTTTTTACTACTTTTTTACTTGCAAAATTGAGCCAGGTGATAATAATAAAAAAGAACTTGAACTTGGTATTAAATGGGTTATTAATTGTGCCTTTTTTTGGGTACAGGACAGTACCCAACCCAACCTAACTTGGAACCTAAAGAGCTGGACTAACTTACCTAAGCTAACGTACCTAGTGGTCCTAGTCATGTATTACATATCGACCTAGCGACCATCCGATCCCTCGACGACCATCCGAACCTCCGACTCTCCGATGAATTTTTGAATATCAAAAAAAGATTACATACAGTGGAGTGTATTAAAAAGAAAGCAGATTTAGGAGCAAGAGTTTCACACAAGATAACCAGCCTTGGCCGAGTTCTTAACATCATATGTTACATACGTATGTAGCACCATCGGAGAAGGCGATTAACCCAAATTGCCGCGGCCTCGGTTCTCTTAAAAGCAGGAGTTTTAATATAGTTATAATATAGTTACTAGGTAACAAGCGCGGTGAGGCTTGCGGGATGAGGCAGTGAAGAACAGCCACGTACGACACGAGATACAATATCGCACGGTTTTAGAGAATCTTTGCCAAGGGAAAACCTTTGTTCATCGATGCCACGTACGGTATAGCCGTTGAAGCTTACAAAAGCCCCATACCTTAATACTGAAAGAATGATCTTGGCTTGGCACTTACTTACCTAAATAGGGTACTAATATGGTGTGTAGGATGTTGTGTATGTCGGTTTTAGATTTCTGACTGCCTACGGCAATATCTATTGTTATGCACCACGGCCACATGGCTTTGCGGGAGGAACCTTGCGAATGCAGGAACCCCCAATCAACTGTACGTATGCGTCGTACAGTAGCATTCACCTGGGAGCCAGTGATTTCTGTATTGAGCCATATGTACTATTACATTCAATGTTAATGTTCCTACTACATACCTACCTCTGTAAGACTCAAGTATGTCATATGTAGTTCTCAACGACCTGAGGCTAAACGGTACTCTAAGTTAGGGCTACTACTATATCATACCTAGGTTAGTTAACTAGCATTACCCATGGGCGCTAGGCACTTCCCAAACGAGTAAACCTAACAAGTTCCGGCCCGTCGTTAGTCTTCGGCCGAATGTGGTGCGTGAACCGCTAAGACCAAGCAAGGCTAAGTAAAAGTAAGTGGCGCCCCGAGGAAAGAAAGTAGGTGCTTACATGTTCATTATGAATTCTTAGGGGAGGAGAAAGAAAAAAAAAAAAGAGGAGAGATGGGGGGGTTCCTTCTTTTTCGAGATATGACGATCGGACCTTTTTTTTTTTTTCTTGTCATCAGTAGGAAGGAAGGCCAGGAAAGAAAAGAACCATCGCTCCCAAGAATCTGCTAGGTCGGCGCAAGAAAGAAGAAGGTGCTGACATGAAGGTTTCAGGGGGCTCAGCCCTACGATTCACCCAATCAGCTCGGAAAACAAACATGGCCATGATAGATGACTGGCATATCGAGGTTAAGTGCTTACTGCCTTTTCGTACTTATGTATGTATGTACATCCATACCTACACTAGGCATAACAAGGCTTTGGATACATATAAGATCTCACCAGCTGATATGGAGACTTTGCTATAGGTATGTATCTACTAGGTAGTATTATATTTAGTAGGTACATATGTAGGTACTGTAATATATTCAATGCTGTGTAGATGTTACGTAGAATCATCTTTTGAATAATACCGACCTACCGAAAATAGTTGAACAAACTAGACGTTTCTCAAGTTTCTTCACTACTACACTAACCTTACTCAACACGATAATTTTTCCTATCCCGCTTCTTGGAGCCGTTTCTCGCAAAGTCTTTCCCCAATAGTTACCAAGAGCAACGATTAGTGGTTTATTAGGTAGCTTAACTGTACACTATTAGTATGTCCATGTCCATATGTATCTAAGGGTATGTACCTAGATCTTTGTACTGCCGACATTCCAGAGTCGGAGTAGCGGTCAGCTTAAGAATTAACGTAGTCTACACAGCAGTGGTGACTTTGGGGCCCTCGAGTAATGGGTCAAACCCCTCTAATTCGTTACCCGAGGTCTCCACGCTGGACCTGGCAGACCAGTCAGCTTCGCAGTTCGGCAGCAGACCCCAACCTGCACGCCAATGTCGTGTAACCCGATGCCCTACAACATCCCCGGCCCATGCTTTGTTGCGGTGTACTTAACAATTGTTACTCAAACAACCTAACTACATACATAGGTGGGCATAGTTAGTTAGTGCTTGTAGCCTTGTACATAGATAGGTAGAGAAAAACCTCACTCATGGCTTTCCAAGGTTTCAAAGGCTTGGAACTGCACTAGGTTAGAGAGATCTCGAGGGGGAAATTCCCCGTTGGTCGGATGGTCCGAGATGGTCTTTTTGGTTTTCTTCTGTTCTTTAGTTACTTTGACAGGGGCAATATAGTGTAGGTATCTAATGTATGACATGACACTAATTAATCATGGATGCCATGTGTAATTGAAGGGTTGCGATGGTATTAACTACAACAAACATTTGAATCTGTCAACTGGAATGGTGCCATTTGGGCTTGTCAAACGGTAGAATCTGGCAGATGGTACTAGGTATGAGCTGGACTGAGCTGAGAACTGGAAGGTTGGCTGCAGGCTATCCTAGGTATGTACCTACGTACAACTGCCGTTAATATCATTTCTCAGATTCCCAATCGTGCCTAGTAACTACAACCCATCGACTCATCACTTGTATCTAGCTCAGGGATCATTATTTATGACGGCAA